CCCTAAACCTAAATTACAGTATTTTAAAATGTCATTTTATTACAGAGCCACCTCCTTTCTTAACACTCTTCCTTTTAAATGCAATATATCTTATTCTAATTTTAAAACCAAGTTAAAATTATATCTCATAGAAAAGCAATATAATTCTGATTTTAACCATCACCTTGTAATTTTATAATGAATTTTAAAGTTTATTGTATTTTTAATGAATGTTACAATGTTTATCCAATATTTTATTTATTATATTGTTTATTGCAAGGCTCTGGTTAAACAATGAAATGGTTGTGCGCTGACAACTCTCAAGAGAGGATATTAAGAAAGAGGGTAAGCAAGGCCCATGGGCCGCGTCCAGAGGATTCATACCTTGCTTGATATGGCTAATATAGATAAATGACATGACTCTTATTACTAGTCTGAAGGACCCCTTAACGGCTATTTATCGATGATGACAGCAAGAAAAAATACTACTTTGCCTAGCTATTCCTGTGCTAATCAAGACAATAAAGCTAGTCACACCGCTCACCTCACATTGTGGGTGATCTGCAATGCCAATTCTAGACTTGCCACAAGTCTCTTATGTTTTTTTTAAAATTATTTTTTACATTCTGGATGACAGCGCCACCAATGAGGAAGTTAATTTATGGACGGAATAAAAGAAATCGTGTACTGTATGGGACGCCACTTAAATCATGTAAGGCGCGCACTAAGTGCAATAAAACGTGAGAGGCCCAAAAATTAGGACCTGGAACCCAGGCTATGCCAATGCCGGTCTTTTAATGATGACGTCACACATATTCATTGGGTGATGTGACGTAATGCCATTTACCGTACCTTTAGCAGATGAAAGTAGAAATATGGTACCGTATCTCTAGCCACAGCATAACTATATATAAACAACATATACACACAGCAGAAATTTACAAAATACTTGTACGATCATGTAGCAGACAGTTAAATTTACGCTAAAAGATCGATTTTAACACTTTCAAAGAAGTAAAACAACGTATGAAATCTATAACTTTAAAAATAACATCCTGCGTTTTCATCCAGCTGCTTGAATGCACTGTACACGCGAATACATCGTGATTTACGAGAGAACTTCTTTAAAACAGCAGCTGACTCTCAATGAGTTAGTAGATGACTCTCAATGCGTTATAGTAAAATTATGCTTATATAAAGCTGTCCCTGCTGCCTGACCAAAATTTGTTGTACTGTACCAATTGTAAATGTGTATTGGTCGAATAAATAAATGAAATCAATGAAATGAAAAAAAAAAAAAACAATCTTGAGTTTGATTGACAGTTCCTTTATTGTATTAGGCCATAAAGCAACGAAACATGCCTCCTTCTCCTTCACAGGTCGATATGTATGCTGGTGCACTGTTCATCCAACAAGCATTGGGGTGGAATCTATATGTGGCCATTGTTTCACTTCTATTTATTACCGCCATCTATACAATTGCTGGTAATGTTTAATGCATGCTATATATTTTGTCCACTTCTATGGTATTTGTTCTTCTTCTAAGGAACATAAACAATCAATCAATATTAGTTCGTGTCGTATGCGTGCATGCGGACGACGTGCATTGATATTCATGTTTACGTAAAGATACTAGAAATATAAGATAGAGCACTCGCATAGCAAAAATTAAGCTCTTTGAACTTTTTTGGATTCCAAGGGCTACCTGTTCTCTCATTTCTGTGACTTAATTTTTTTTTTTAGCTAAGATTTCATATGTGTTTATAAATATATTTTTTATGCATATTTCTCCTTTTTATGTATTTGTTTAGTTAAGTTTGTACCTTTTTATTTACGAACGCACCGATTGGCAACGAGTGCCACCGATCTAAATTAAATATATTGGTCATTGGTCCAGACGTACGCGGCGCCCTTCTCTTTTTATAATGCAAGTTTTCTATACTTGGTACAGACGTATAGGGCGCCCTTCTGTTGCTAGGTACACGCAAAGAGTATACAACTGAAGACAATATTTCGTCATTAGAAGTTATTTAGTATACCTTTATTCGGAAAATTAATCTCAAAAACACGATATTTCAACCTCCGCAAACGGAGATTATCATATTTCCGTGTATTTCACAGTTGCAGAAGTCTTTTAGATCCAGCCGTACGAGGCGACCCATTGTTTGTATTCCCACCATGCATTTCGGTGGAAAAGTTTTTTCTGTGGCGAACTCTATCTTGTGTTTCTAGTATATTCGGTAAAGCATGGTTTCCCTAAAATAAAATACCTACCGGTACTCGCCGCATTACTCTTGATTGATGGGTCGAATGGTGGAGACTCGCTCTCGGTTGCAACAGAGACAGTGAAAACAATGTTGCGATTTTATGGAAACCAGGCATAAACAAACTAAAAAAATAAGTAGATATTGCTTGTGAATTTTAGTATTTAATAGTACTGGTCATACCATTGATTGGGCTCTTTTGCCTCTTCGTTTTTGATGATTATTTTATTGGTGATTGTAAAACAAAACGTATTAAAACATTTAATCTGCAGGCTGCTTTCTTTTGTATGTAAACAAGTTGACCATGATTAACAAATCATTGTAGTGGCCATGATGATGGCCATGTGTCACTTTAATTGATGTGCTTTTAGCAATTATTATAAGTCAATCGTAATGTCATCACTGTAACTCCCAATGTTATTTTGCTATCCCCAACCGTTTTTTCTTGCATTAATCTAACCTTCGTATAATAATTTTCCACTAGTGTAAAATGATCTTAGTAAAGCAGCTTATGAATATCAACCCTTGTAGAGTATTGGCATTCATATAAATACATTAATCGCATTTGATGAACACTTATGATTTTACTTGTTCTAAATATAGGCCTAAACAGGAAAATCACGAATCATCTATTATGAATAATACTGATTTTCTCACGTAACTATACGTTATTTTCCTAATAAACAGGTGGACTAGCGGCTGTGGTTTATACAGATGCGTTACAGACGTTTATCATGTTGGTGGGATCAGCAACCCTTATGGGATTAAGTACGTAGGCATCAAAATAATCTAAATCACCGTCATCAGATCACCATCTTGTAACAGCGCCCTCTAATAAAGTTTTAAGTTTCTACATGAAGAGTTTATTTGAATTTCAAGTTAATTGCCGATAATTTGGTTGTCACAGGGTCCTGTGTCCATCCCTGCAAATCAGAGTTTTTCTCCCGTCTGATAACATATAACCAAGCCTAAAAGGAAACCAATTATAGCCCATCAGTCATAATAAATTAGCCTCCCCAAAGGAGCAAATCTCCGGGGAGGCTTGTTCTTCATGTTGTTGTCGTTGTTGGGTAAATTGTTTGAATATCACGATAACTAAAGCTTGTTAAGTCTTTCTGATTTCAAACTTGGCAGAATGTAAGCTGGTAATAAGAAGGCGGAGTCTATTGTTTTGGTACATGTGGGAACAGGAGATGTGTATAAGAGACAGCACTCTCAGGGGCGGATTTAAGGGGGCCCCCCCCCCTTTTGAGAGGTAAAAAAAAGAAAGAAAAAGAAAAAACGATAGCCCAGAACACCTCAAATGTTATTTTCGGGTTTGGGTAGGTTTTGTACAAGTTAATAAAAAATAAAATCCTATTGTTTTTGGCATGTGTGTGTGAATATGCTAATTGTCATTTGCATAATTAATATTTCACTAATCAGGTAATTTAGACTAGTTGCCACGATAACTAAATTTTGGTAAGTCTGATTGGTTTCAAACTGTGCACAATGCAATATGGTGATAAAGTGAAAGAGTTTATTGTTTTTTGTACGTGTATGACCCCATTCCCAGCAAGATTTCAGTATACGGTATGTTATAAAGGGCCCCAATGGAAATAAATTTTATATATTGTAAAACTTTCTTCGGTTACCCTAGGAATTAATGTCTTATCTTGTTCTTTATCTTTTATCTGTTCTTTGTATTTGTTTTATTTTCAAGTAATCTTGATTTTAATTCCTGAATAAAATGAAATGAAATGAAATAGAGATTTATAAATGTAATACGAAATTGCTAATTTAACTGAATTTAGACATTCCTAAACATGAAAGAAATGTAAAATAAAACTGAAATTTGATTTTTTTTTTGTTGCGTTCCACACAAAAAATACATGCGGATCCAGGAATTTGAAATAGACAGGCCAGGAAGGGTATTTTCACAGATAGAAGATCTATACTACCTCAGCCTCACCGTTGGGGCTGAAGTAGTATAGATCTTCTATCTATCTAAAAAAATCTTTTTTTAGTGAAATTTTGCCGGGAATGGGGCTTGCTCATTTGCATAATTAATATTTCAGTAATGAGGAAATTTACGCTAAATACCATCATAATTTCCATAAAAATTTAGTTGAAATATTTAATCTTTGCATGACGAATCCAACTCTCAAGCCGGTTTTCCACTGGACAAATTTATTCGCGCGAATCGAAGGCGTCAGTTCGGTTCCTGAGCTCTGATTGGTTGTGCACATTTTTCCCTTCGCAAAGTAGAAACAGTTCGAACTACCAGCTTCGCTGAAGCGAAAACTTCGATATAAATGTTAATGTGTATGTTAATGAACGACGCTTTCGATTCACGCAAATACATTTGCCTAGTGGAAACCGACTTCGTGTAAGCGCTAGACAACGTGACACCGTATGCTGATTGTCGGTAGTAGCAGTTACTAGGCAAATTCAGAGGCTGTAGTCTTATTTTACATTTTTTTTCGTGTTTAGGAATGTCTAAATTCAGTTAAATTAGCAATTTCGTATTACATTTATAAATCTTTATAGCATACCGTAATCAAAATCAAAATCAATTTTTCTTAACTGAAATCTTGCCGGGAATGTGGATTTAAGATATTTTCTTACACTTCCTTGTTTGTACAGGCTTTGCAAAGGTGCCGTATAATGAACTTCAGGTAAAATATTTCCAGGCAATTCCCAATACGACGTTGGATAACCCCAATACTTCATGTGGTTACCCACGGGAAGACGCATTCCATATTTTCCGGGATCCATTGCATTCAGATCTGCCATGGCCGGGAATGATCTTTGGGATCACTATCTCATCCATCTGGTACTGGTGCACTGATCAGGTGAATATGTCACTTGCTTTTGTATTATAACCCCCACCTCTCCAAATGAGAGGTGAAGGGTATTGCAGTAGCGCGCATCTGTGTGTGTGTGTGTGTCTGTCTGTGTGTGGTGTGTCATTCCGGGGGTGGGCCATTATTTTTTACTGTACTGTACATAAATATGGCACAGTAGGGCGAGGGTTTGTAATCTCAGATTATCTTGTTTTCTTTGTTTTACTGTATTTTTCTTGTTCAGGTTTCGTTAAGACAAGCATATTGGCACCCATTTTTGTAAATTGTATTTTGCAAATGATCGTTTTGTTATAAAAATCATTATATTTTAATTTTTAACGGAATTTTATGAGTAGACTTGACCACAGTAACGAATATGAAACGTCAATTGTGAACTGGGTATCCAGGATTTAGAGTGGTTCTGGATATAATTTCTAAGCTAGAAGCGCGTGCTTAGTTTGAAATTTTGCTATTTTGTGCATTAAGTGCATTCTAGACATTGACAGATTACATTATACCAAATCCAGGTCCATATATTTGGTGTTGGATTCAAATTCGCCAAAGGTAGTATCGGTTTCCAACAACCTCTCTTTGGTACATAATGGGCCCAAAACACCTGATTAACTATTTCATGTCCTCTAGTCATTGGCTCGTAATGATTTCATTTTTTTGTTTCAATTTCATGCAAAACTTTAGGTCATTGTCCAACGTGCTCTTGCTGCTAAAAATCTAAGCCACGCCAAAGGAGGTTGTGTCTTCGCCGGCTTCCTCAAGGTTTTACCGATGTTTTTGATTGTGTTCCCGGGTATGATCAGTCGCGTGCTCTTTCCAAACGAAGTAGCTTGTGCCACGCCAGAGACTTGTATGGATGCATGCGAAAGCGAGATCGGCTGCACCAACATTGCTTTCCCTTTGCTTGTCTTGTATGTCATGCCAGTGGGTAAGCTTGTCATGATGACAAATATAATGGCAATGATAATGGTGACGATGATGGAGAGCATAATGATATTGATAATATATTTTATATTGACAAAATTAATACGGTAATGAATGATGATGACGATTATGATAAATAGTGGTGGCCCTGATAGTGAATGGTAGTGATGATAATGAGGAGGATAATGGCAGGATAATGGTGATGTGAATACAGTGATGATAATGATGATGTAAATGTGTTTGTATTTATTTTGATGGTGCTAGTGATGCTATGTTTCTGATAATGACGGTGGCATTTTATGTTACCTAAAAATTGTTGGTATATTTCTGAATTATCCTTAGGTCTTAGGGGATTGATGATTGCTGTTATGTTGTCAGCATTGATGAGCTCACTGACGTCAATCTTCAACAGCAGTAGTACGATATTTACCATCGACATATGGCGTCGAATCAGGCCTCGAGCCAGCGATGCTGAACTTATGATCACTGGCAGGTAGGTATTGTTTAAAACATGCGCCCCCTTGTTATCGTGTTAACAGGCCCTCATCTGAATTGTTCGAAAAGGTGTTAACGTATATTGTAAAATATTATATTGTCACAATAACTGGAATACCGAACGTACGATATACCAAAAACTAAATTTGAAGACTTTCAATAACACGGGTTGAGTCTTCATAGAATATATCATTAGTGACGCCATAATAATATACACTTCTTTTTTTATTTTTACTTAGAATCTTCATTTTAGTGATGTGTGGAATTAGTATACTGTGGATTCCCATTATTCAAGCATCCCAGGGCGGCCGACTGTTTGATTACATTCAATCTATTACCAGTTACCTCTCACCGCCGATTTGTGCTGTCTTTATACTAGCAGTAGCCTGGAGGAGAATCAACGAACAGGTAAGTATCAATATTATATTATGTAAAAGTCTTTAAAGTTTAAACACCGGATAACATTGAAGAGCTTACCTAGCAAGGTTTCAACCACTGTTGTGGTCTTGTTCACGGTGACGTCATCTGATGTTGTAACGTCAGAACGGTTTTCGTCAGTGGGCTTCGTTAGCCCCACGCCTATTACTCTTTATTGGTGTTGTTCCATAAGGCAGGGAGATTAAAACCACCTGCGTTACTGTTCTTTGGGTTTGTTAATTTAATACAGATTGCCTCTTTAAACACCCCCCCTCCCCTCCAGTTCAAACCATCTTGGTTCTATGCAGGACAATGTTATTGAAACCATGCTCGGGCGACGGTGCTCCATAAATTGTGATTTAAGACGTTCTTCAAAGTTATCCAGTGTTTCAAGTTTAAAGAATGTTATTTTTAAAAGAGTTGCTGGCCGAGCGGTTAAGGTAGGGGCACTGCAACCTACAGCCATAATATAATATAAAAGCAAGTCACTGTAAGAGGTAGTCCACACCTCGAGCGCTTTGAGACCGTCTTAGTATAAAGCGCTATATACATCTAACTATATTACATTACATATAATTAACATCCTGAATAAATAAATCTTCATCAAACTATAGATTATTATAATAAGTTTTGGTCGAATGCTCCACATGTGAGGAACTGAGGTGGATACCTTCTTTATGGGCGGATATTCCTCATGAGTAAAACTACTCCAATCCACAGTTTAATTATGTATTTGTCGAGTTAATATCTGTTGAAGAATTTAATAAAAAAATATTAGTATTTTGCTGTTAGATTGGTAAAAATAGTTTTTAATTCCATATTCACAATATGAATACTGTAATCGCAGGGAGCCTTCTGGGGCTTGATGAGTGGACTTCTTGTTGGTCTCATTCGCATGATTTTGGATTTTGTCTACTCGGCACCAGGGTGTGACGAAGAAGACGACAGGCCAAATATTATAGCCAATGTCCATTACCTATATTTTGGTATACTGCTTTTTGGCATCTCTGGAATCGCTACTATTGTAATAAGTTTGATGACGGAACCAATTGACAAGAAATACGTAAGTATTTCCATCTTGTGCATTCCCCACGGCTGCAATATAATAGTAAGCCCTCTATTGGTGAATGGTCAGTACTTAGTTTTTGCCAACTTCTTGTTGGTGGATCCACATGGTGTCGAATATAATATAAATAAGGAAGGAAATATTAAATATTTCAATAGGTGTAATAATATGACAGGGTTGTGTTGGGATTTAGTCTTACGAAATTAATAATATTTATTACTTTACAAAAATACCCAAAATCTCATTGATTTTACTTATTTTTAACTGTCCCTATTCTTGCTATTCGAAAAAATTAATACTTGTAATCATATTTCTGCAAAATTGATAGCTTGTTCGTCTCACGTGGTCGAGCCGATTCGATACAGCTGCAAGGGAAGATATCTCGGTTTCTGACCACGAAATGGTAGAGCCCAATAAAGAGAAAATGCTCAGCAAACATGATGAAGACGACGGTAAGTATACATCCTACTTGAATAACCTATTGTTTAAAATATGAAATTGTATATTTCTGTTGAGGTTAGTGGTTATTCTGTACAGTGCATATGAAGAACATCTCCCATTCTGTTCTCTTATGTGTAAAAACGCATTACACAAATTGGTTACGTAACTCTTCTGTAGGGGCACTATGTGAAAAAGTTTTCCATCCTCTTCACTCATTCCTTTTTCTTTTTGAGCATTTTTTTATTTACAACTGAGCCAGTAAAACACAGAAAATACTGTATCTGCAGTAAGAGTCTAGATATACGACTGTATGCGCATTTGGGCACTTTGTTTTTTTTTTTAAATCTTTAAAATATATAGGTATTGACCAATGTATTGTTTTCAATTCCAGAAGATGTTTCATGCGCTCGCAAGATCCTCGATTGGTTCTGTGGTACTGGTAAACCTCAACAAGTTGGAGACGAAACTGAAGAAGATGTAACTAAAGATGTCAGTATCCATGAGGGAAGACGCGACCAGATTATCCTCAATATCGGCGCCTTCCTTCTCATGTTGACAAGTGTGTTCATGTGGTCCTATTACGCCTAATTTCAGAAACGACTAGCATTCTATTTGGTCATTTCATTTTCTTGTACAGACATTTCAAATATATACATTTTGTCACCATTTGTTTTAGTAAGTTACATATTAAAATATCGTTTGTGAATGCCATCATAGATGCTAGTACAGGGCTTTTAAAGTCACCTTTCTAAGAAGCTAAAAAGAAAAACGATAACATAAAATGGCAAAAACCTAAAATAAAGTAACTTTATTTCACAATTCCATGTTACAAACACAGTCTTCAATGTAACTTTATTTCACAATTCCATGTTACAAACACAGTACAAATTGCATTTTTTCTTTTGTGAAAATGGGTATTTACAGAAACAAAGCGCTTTAATCGTAAAGCCCTTACAGAGAATAATTAAGAGTAATCCGAAATAAATAAAAGAGAAGCAAAAAAAAACCAAAATGCAATAAAAGAATAAACAAGCAATATCAATAAAAACCTATGTTTCATTAAGGAGTAACGACTGATGTATGGTTTAAGATAAATATTTCAAAAATGAAAAATAACATTTTGCCCTAAGGCAATTACGTATACCAAACATGGTGCGACCCAAGCTCAATCAAGCATTAACACTTGGTGTAACTCTCAACTAACTTATCGTGAAGCTTTTGTTTAAATTCCCCTATACTGCTTTGTGTTTTGATAGCCTTGGGTAGGTCGTTCCATACTTTCGGACCTCTGTAGGTAATGCTCTGTTTACCTAGTTTAGTTCTCTTAAGTGCAGTACATAAATTGTCTTTGGTCCTTGTATCATAACTACGTTTAGAGGAATTAGTGCTAAAGAATGAGTCAAAAGTATTAGGTACCTTCCCTCGATATAATTTCAACATAAATAATGCAACATGTTTCTGATAAAGATCAAAAACATTTAATGTTTGGGTACGAGCAAATAATGGCAAAGAAGGGTGTTGTTAATGTGCGTGTTTTATTTTGTTCATTGTACCTAGCACTTTTGAAACATTCTTAGCTACTGTATTAACATGATGTGAAAATGAGAGATAGTGTCTTCAAAATACACTCAGAGAAACTTTATTAGTTTAACCCGTTTTGTAGCGTTATTATTAATAAATAATAAGGTTTGATGTGTCAATTAAAACATTTCTGTTTCTAAATATCACATAATTTGTGGTTAGCTTATTTGCTTTGAACCATGTTCATTTAAACTTTTGAACACTCTTTCGATATTTTTGTGTTCAAGAAAAACGTTTCTGTCGTCTGCATACATAATAACATCGGTTTTTCTTGCAGGCAATCGTGATATCATTTTTATAAATAAGAAATAGCAAATGAAAAAGCAAATACTTAATTCCTTGTACATTCACAAATTGTTTTCTGCCTGATAGGTAACCTGAAAACCAATCACAAAATTTGGTGAGATATTTGAAAATACTGTACTCCAATGATTTATTTTCGATTGCAGAGATACAGGTTTTCACTTCCTAAGACCTTCATTTCTGAAGAAAAAGAAAAATCCATTTTCTTTTCGACTTCCGTAATTGTGTCGCTTTTGAATGTACAGTAATAAATTTTTCGTGTTCCGTCTGTTTTAATTCAGTGTTGACAATTATTTTGAGCAGAGTCTTTTGATTCCCAATAATCGAGTCTAGCTTAACCCTGACGAAGGTTTGGAATGTTTGAATTTCCCGCCTCAGTAAACCACAGTGAATAAAAAAGGATTGCCAATAAATCTTGCAAATTGGATCCTAGACAAGAAGGTACATTAAATGCAATACGTAATAAACATTACAATATATTTTATGTGGGTTAGGTATGTTTTCGCATTTTGAGTATGATAGTGTGATATATTTCTTTTATAAAACATCCATATCAAATGTGATGTGTAATATAATTGATGTTTTACAAGATAAATTATCCTGCTCTGGGTACTTAACTTATTACTTGGGATCGAGTGCAGAGACTACTCACACCAGACTGGATTCTTATTCATGAGTGACCTCCGACTCTGAGATGATGACAACTAATGGCGTATCTAAAAGTCTTGAATTATACACATCTAGATGTGTATAAGAGACAGGTTGAGGAGCGCTAATACGCAAAATATAGTGATTTTTAACTACTTGACCGTGATTTTTTGGGTGGAGGCACTGATGACAACACGACAGTGACCAATCCGGATGGACCTGACTGATCATTCCTCTGTGGTACCTACTACTACTAGTACTCAGAAAACACATGCTTCTTAAATAGATCAATTCTTTTCATTGATAAAGTATTGGTATAGTACATTGTACGACTGCAGTTAGTAGGCAGGTATATTACTGTATACTGTACCAATGTGTTATTACTGAAATAGAGTAAAACAAAAACACATTTTCGCCGCTGTAGCTGGGCTAGTCGGTCGGTTGTCATCATTTCAGTGAGTAAAAGGTCTTTCATGAATGTTGATATTTATGAGAAATCTTTCAAAATTAAAATATCCGGAGCAATCCAGTCTGGTGCAATGTATGTAATCAAAATGTCAGTGCAGCGCCCTCTGCTACCTAGTGCGCATTAACACTTGAAGTGTGCATACAGTAATGTAATATAAATTACATTCATGTTTATACTCCATTGTATTAAATTGCAAATCATTGTGTATATTTAGAACAAAATTAGCAATTAAATTCTCAGTGAATGTATTATAATAAATATTATAGAATCGTGTTATGGATATTAATTTCTTTTTCAACTTTAACCGCTGTGACACTAACAGCAATGCTGATTTAACTCGGTTAGTAGAGTACCCGAACGGTAATCGGAAGGTCTTGGGTTCGAATCTCGATGAGGACATACGTTTTTCTCAATTACTATTTATTATCATCAATAAAAATATTGAAATGGTAATAAAGTAGGCCTATCATGGCTGTTAATTGCAGTGAATTAAAATTGCGATACGTATTCATAACTTGGGTTGTTTGCAGAATTTCATAAAACATGTGACTGAAAATAAAGCTATTTTTATCGAGTATATAAACTTTTGTGCTTTTTTTTTATGATTGTTGGTTTTTCATTTATTGAACTGTATAAAGTAATTTAAAGTAGCTATACCATTTGTGATTAGCTAGAATGTATTTCATAGATACTAGAATTATCTGGTAAAATATATTCAATAAATTTTGAGTAAAATGGTTTTATAATTTTTATTTCATTAACATTACCGTACTTAACTGTTACGATATGAAAAAATAACCAAAGTAAAAACACTTAGATTAAAACAAATACATAATGGATGGGCACAAAATATTTTCAACATGATTACATATAACCTGTACATTTTACGTATACATGTAGGCATGAAAATAGTCTTTCTCTGCGAGCTAATAAAATCCCGAGATTTTTCCACTTTATTATCCAGGTATCGAACCTAGGTTTCAATGGTGAGTACTTTATAACGACATCAACATCAGTAAATGAATCAATTTGCATCAAGTGGCGGATCCAGCAATTTGCCGATTTGGGGGGGGGGCGGGGAGGTAGGCCTAAGGGAAATGCCTTCCCTGACCACTGCTGGTGCCACCACTGTTTGCATCCAGAATGACAGGATTTAATTGCTTATTAATCAGCTAATGTAAAGTAAGATATCATGTAAAGATAAATCTGACGTTTGAAAATAGTACACTTTGCATCGTGCCAAATTCGAGTTGTAATCAGATGGATAATACTGTATCGTCTTAGTTCAAAAACTTGACTACGGGAACCAGTGCACCGATATTGTTGCTTCTATAGAGGACGACCTTCATACGGTTAGTAGAAACGTAAACAAGACCAAATGGGAACGAAAGGGATCGGTAAGAGAGAATGCCTAAATCATTGACTGTTATATTACTTTAAAATGGACCGTGATAAGATTAATGTTAATCTAGAACTTTGTACAATATCTGTTGTAGGGTCAATTTGTGCCGCGTGTAAAGAAGAAATTAACGACGAGGAAGTGGTGAAGGCACTTCAGACGGATTGGCATGTGAAATGTTTCAGGTAGGTACAGGCATTGGTGGTGTCTGTCAGGGGCCACCTGGTGTAGTGTGCATCAGGTAGCTGTTGGTAGTAGTATAGGCTACCGGAAGAATAGAGAGTTATTTACAGTCTTGCGAGCAGCGGGTAGGCCAGGTTCTTACCAATAAAAACCACATTTAGAATTATTTTAAATAACAACATAGGGCCTATTTCCCCTTGCCAAATTAAATGGTTATTTAAAATCTTTAAAATAAGAGATGACGTTTTTAACCCATTTATTTATTTTTTCTCTATGACCCATCTTGTGTCATCTGCTTCCTGACCCTTGTCACGGGGCTTTCTGTGTTGAGACGGAGGGACAAGGTATAAGTTGGGGGGGGGGCGTGGCCACAGAAACTTTAGGTATTTGATGTCAATTAATTAGGCCACAGAAATGTTGATATACAGTGTCTAATTAATTTAAACATTGTCTCAGTGGTCCTCTTCGCCAGGTAAAGATATGAAGATGTACCTATATTTTTTAGAATTTTAATTGTATAGTGATTGCATGCTTTTAGTTTTAAGTGCTGTAGTTTCAATAACAATATCAACTTATCTCCCACATTTGCTCCCTGCCGTGATACAATAATGTCCAAGTTCAGAATGTACAGTACCAGACAACTCAAGTGTACTGAGAGGTAGTCAAATTGTACCCATGTCTTACATCCTATACATTATAGTCTGGTTGTAAAACTGCTGAAATGAACTTTAGCGGGAAAAAAGTAAAGGAAAATTAATTTTTGGTTTTTCTGAATCAGCATACCC